TTTCATTTTCACGGAATCATCCCTTCAGCGAAAATAGCAAAAATAAATTCCAAGCAAAAATAAAGTATTCTATAGTAGTTTTTGTTTGAGATCTGTGCATTTTAAATGTCTCATTTGCATATTAATTAGCAAATTGGACGACTGGACAGAATATTCCAACATCACACCCACATTGGCCTGTCATGGAATCAGAAATATCAGGGAGTGATACATCACCTGTATCACATAAACTCTGTATTGTTTGGTGCTGTAACTATTTTTTTTTTTCATTTTTTAGAATTTCTTGATAATTCTAATCCTGGCGATGTTGACTTTGGTCATGTAATGCACGCACTAGCTAGCGAAGATATTGCAGGTTTGCCACCAGGAGGTGGACTTGCAGCCAAGTAAGTAAAATATTCTTGTGTTTCCCATATGTTGTTTAGTGATAGTAAAGAAATATTATTCTGTTATTGTCTTTGTTGAAAAGTTGGGCTTCAGCTAAACCAACATTGCTGCAAATAGGCACACCAAAACGACTGGTGGAAGAACAGTTGATGAAAGAAGATCTCCTACAGATGTTTTTTGAAGAATAAAAATTAAATTTGACTGCATTAATTTATGTTGCATTCACCATTAGTGGCCATAACTATACAACGTAAATTCAAACTGTTAATTATTTTGAAATGGAGTGGTCATCATTCCCACATTACCCACAGGAATGTAAATTAAACATCAGAAAAACATATTGCTTTAATATAAAGTATGTTGCAGGAGCTTATTTCAATTTGCTTCATGAATCAGAATTCATTTATCAGTTCTCATTTTGGAAATTGGCTAACAAAAACAATTTGATATTTTCCACCTCTGCTTTAACTATTTTATCATTGGCGGAAGCCCAAAGACTTGTGCTACCTGAGACTGAGTGCATTGCTGAAGAAACCCTTATATTGGTATACCAAACTTTAATCAGCAATGTCTATTATAGTGTGTTATAAATCACCACTATCGGATTTGAGGTTTTATGACATTGTAGCTTTACATCATCACATGATAATGTAAACCCTATATTTACAAGTAAATTCATTTCAACATAAAGTCTCCAAATTTACTTAATTTGTTAAATTCTGATGTTGATGATTCATCACAACAATAATGACACCCCCTCCCCCTACCACAAACATGAGGAGATGGGTCTAGATGTGCACACATTATCTTGCCATAGACCCTTCTCCTCATCCAATATGGCACTCTTGGAGATTCAATATTGTTTAAAAAACAAGACAAGGAAAGGGGTATGAGGTATAGTGGGCGGTCAAGCCTATTATTTGAAAAATCATGCTATCATGCAAAAATAGACAGTACAGAATTCTTTAAATTGTCAATTTTCACCTATTTTTGCACATTTATGATGTGCCTCAAATCCACACTGTCCAATTAGATCTAAACATGGTACAAGAACAATTACATTCAAGCGCTTTTACAAAAGTTGAGCTGTGTCATAATATAATCCAAGATGACAAGCAACCATTTTCTGTTCAGCCATTTTGCTAACATAAATTCACATACATTAATTGTCCTGCAGTCCAAACACTTGGAGCATATAAGCACTGACATTTCATTTGTCATATATTGAAGTACAACAAAAGAGGGGGCTATGATATTCTCAGTGGTTTGTTTTAATTATAATACGCCTGAATATCAAAAATTGAATATACATGCAGTGGTAGCTTGAGATGAATGAAATCAACAATGTGAAGAGCGCATTGTAGATGTCTGAATTTCAGTTATGTGTGAGTTCAACATCAAACATGCATATGATAATTTCCGAGATAAAAATGGCCTTGATTTTTAGACTTATGGATTGACCTCTGTGTGTCCTATATCTTAGACATGCCTGGACCAATTACATTCAAACTTCACACATACATCATACATAATATTATACATATGCACATCAATTTGTTTCATGGTCTGATTAAAAATGGCCAAATGACGGCCATTTTGTGCTACAAACTCATCAAACATCAAGCATTTATGGATGGATTTTGTTCAAGCTTGGTACATACATTAGACATTATGGGTTCCTGATGCACCTCATTTTATTTTTTAGATCGGATTTAAAATGGCCGACTGGTGGCCATTTTGTTATAAATGCAGTTCTAGTGCCATATCTCTACCATGCTATTACTAATTATGTTCAAATTTTATATATTCATTATACATCATGACATATATATACAGATATATTGGTTTGACTATCTGATTCAAAATGGCCAAATGACAGCTATTTTTGTGCTAAAAATTCATCAAAAATCAAGCATTTCCAGCATTCCAGACCGGATCTTGGCATTTATGGATGGATTTTGTTCAAACTTTGTACATACATTAGACATTATGGGTTCCTGATGCACGTCATTTTTGAGTCCCCGTGTGTGAGTCCGAACCTATATCTTAGACATGCCTGGACAAATCACAATCAAACTTCACACATGCATCATACATGATATTATACAAATGTACATCTGCACATCAATTTGTTTCACGATCTGATTCAAGATGGCCGAATGGCGACCATTTGCGTGCTAAAAAATCATCAAAATCAAGTATTTCTCGACTGTTTACAGATGGATTTTGTTAAAACTTGGTATATACATTGGACATTATAGGACATTGATGCACATCATTTTTTTTTTCAGATAAGATTCAAAATGGCCGACTGGCGGCCATTTTGTTTTAATGAATATGGTTCAAGTGTCATATCTCTGACTTGCTTTGACTAATTATGTTCAAATTTTAAATATTTATTATACACCATGTTATAGATATATACATGTCTGCAAAATGGCTGATTTTGTTTTAATTATTGCTGTTCCAGAGCAATATCTCGCAATATGGACAAAATCTCGCAATACTCGTTTCAGTGTTCTCCACAATCTAAAATAGCTGGTGGGTGGCCTAATTAGCATAAATTTACATGTTAATTTGCATATAATTTACATACAACATTCTAGCATTTATGTCATGAGCTGCAATACAGACAGTTATTTACTATTCTTTTTTTTAATTTAATTGAAACATGTTACAATCTTTTGAAATACAAACAGATTGGTCAATATCAATAGTAACGAAGGTTTGAAATCAGTGATTTATACGTTCTCAAAATTATTCTGCATTCATGAAATGCAATTCGAGTAACGAAGAGCAAGTACAAAACATAATTGAGTTATAATGTAGAAAATATACAAGGTGATTTGTCCCCAAAGCCAAAACAGACAATTTGTCAAAATAAAACCCATAACATTTTTATTTACGATACATTTATGCATGTACATGTTGTACTGCGTTTTCACACGTTGTTTTGGAATTCAAGAAAAATGCTAGCAATCGGCAAAATAAAAGAATCTGCTATGTTCTCGAAGGATTCAACATAAAATATCGATAAATTGAAAAAAGATAACTAAAATATGTATTCAATATTACAAATACTCGCAGTAAACTAATCCGGCAGCCATGTTTGATGTTTTTACCGCTTTCAGAATTCAGTACACGAACATCCAGAATGCGCTGTTCCCTTATGCAACTTAGATACTAAATCGTTAAAGCGTCAACAGCGGTGGGTGGCCGACAGTTACTGAATGGGGTAGGCCAAAAGGTCATCAGTTTGCCTTCTCCATGCTGTTTTCACGATGAAAATTGAGCGAATGTTGTAAATACGGCTAGAATTTTAATTTTTGTTCGAGTTTACATGCAATCTGCTAATATATTTGTTTGTTTTCTGTGCATATACATTTCGTTCGTATTTACTTCCTTCTTTCGTGATCGGAAGACGATTATTAAAAATACAGCTGTAAATTGAAACCAGTGTTGTTGCGTATTGTGAGCAATAAATGGCAACAATGTCGGGCGACAATGAATTCAGGCGATTGACACATTGCCCTGAATACACTTGATAACCATTTGATGATCAGATACAAATGTCAATCATTTTAATGTTAAACTATCATATTCCTGACATGTTTATATTCCAACTGTATTACTATAAACAAAACTATATATCTTAAATTCGATAACTAACGGGGAATGTGTCATGCATGGCTTGTGTTTTAATGAATGTGCTTCTAGAGCCATATCTCTGACATGCTTTGACTGATTATGTTCAAATTTTATATATTCATTATACATTATGATATAGATATATAGATGTATTCAAAATGGTCGATTTTGTTTTAATTAATGCTGTTCCAGAGCAACATCTCTCAATATGGAAAAGTACTTGTTTGACGATCAGATATGGTCAGATGTCAATCATTTTAATGTCAAAAAATCATAATCAAAATACAGACATGTTTATATTCTGATTATATTACTATAAACAAAACCATATATCTTAACGGGGACTGTGCCATGCATGGTTTGTTTACGTGAAAGAATGAATCATGGTGGTTTTGTTGTTGAAACCATATGTACATATATGGGGAAAATTGGATATCACACAAATATTCTTGTTTGTATGTTCACGCATTGACCTCAAGCACTCCAAAGTTGTCATCTGATAAAAGAGCTGCACATGGTACCGATCAACCATTGATAATGTGGTGTTTAAATAGTGGGCTCTGCAAGGTTTTATAATTGTTGTTAACTTAATCAAGTGGTTCTGTCTCCACAGGCGTAACACAGTTGAAGATATTTTCCACAAGTTAAACCCAACATCCAAAAATGATGAGGTACGTAATAATTAACTTGCTATCAGTCTGACCATTTTTCAGCAAAACATCTGCTTGTAATATAATATAATTATTAGATAATAATTAAACAGTGAATTGATATCACTCAAGTGGATACGGTACTTTATAAAGGAGCTCATTGGAATGGCTATCGTAGCACAAATCTTCACTTTATAATGTCATTTGGATGATGTAATTATTATCTATCCTGATTTCTCTGAAACTATTGTGCAATGATTAGTATTTATTGCTACGTTTACACGACAGCATTTTATCGGAGCCCTACCACTTGAGCCAAGTTTGGCTCCAATAAACCCTTGGGGTTGAACCCTGATAGGGTTGAGTCCCGACATAGCCCTGACCATGTATATACACCGGGCCCAACTATCGGAACCCAAATCACGGCCTCAATTGTCCTTCATAATTTCTCGCAATTTCCGGCTTGACAAAGAGGTACACGCCCTAATTTGGCAGAGTAAAGAAATACTGTAATAGATTGCTACATGTAGCTCAACGAGAAACAGAAAAATGACCCAATCTAAGGGATGGACAGGTTGGTCTTTTCAGTGATAACAAAAATAAGGCGTTTTACTGTGGAACAGAATCCTCATTGAATATAATAAATTGTTAGGAACTGAATAATTTCATTACAGAGCATGCAATAATCTATACAAATAGCATAAATAAGCGTTTTTGCTAATGGAGATATGATTTTAATATGGTATTTCTAATGAAGTAATTTATAGAGGGTGTGGACGATTAATTAATAATTTACTCAAATTATCATATTCCTTTTGAGCCACCTGTGAGCTATTAAAAGATACTTTCAAAGAACAGCATCCTTTGCCAGAAGATTAGAATGCCTGTTCCAATTCACGATGTACCTGTTCCCTGCAAGATAACTTATGACATACCATTCTCGGTTCATCAATATTTCAAAGATGTTAATTTTATTTTGGACTGTCCCACTTGGTCAGTTACCGTACTAAATACTGCCTGGGACAGCTGGACAGGCCCTAACTTTGACTTTGTGTTCATAGATATGATGTACAGATTCTATTGTCACTCTAAGTAAACAATTATGTTGTTATGCATTTCTCATAGTCATTGATCTGTGCCTTGTTTTAACAAGTTAATTTCTGAAACATTTAAGGTAGAGATGCAGGTTCGTGG